ATCATCATTATATCATCAGACAGACTGCTACTTGATTTTATCCTATTATTTCTTAAGTGTTTTACAATCATAGCGTTTCTTAGTCGCAACTACCACAAAATTCTCTGTTTTATGCTTTAAGAGATTCTATACAGTTGTTCATATTACTATTTACTGATTACTAATCCTTATAACAAGCATGGCAAAAAAAGCACAAATCCGCGAATTCGGGTTATCCGCGGACAGTTCTTTTTCGAGGCGCGAATAGAGTTTGATTCGTCCTGATCTCCATGTTTATCCCTTAATAACAAACATCTGCTGATGTTCTGACCTCTTTCTTACTTGTTTATGTACACTGACGTTGTCTTGTTTTTTGTAAACCTCGAATCTGGAGCTATTGTTTTCTTAAATTTAGGGCATGGGTCCTCCTGTGTTCTTGGTGTTATTGCTATTCGTTCAAGTTGTGAGTTTTTCGCGCTGATGCTATGTTTTAATTCAATTTTTCTGAATTTCAAGAATAGAGAACATTTCATGGTTTCACACCGTTTTTACACAGTTTTTCTTTTCATACACCAAAAATACTTTCAAAGCAACTGTGTGCTCTGTTGGTAGCCATCTATAAGAAGTCAAACCAGCTTCAAATTTGTCTGCATCATTTTTAGCGATTATCATCCACACAACAAGATAATGGAGTTCTTGGAGATCCCATCGTTGATTGTGCTGACAGTTACTTTGAAGTGAGCCACATTTTATCACACCTTTGCCTTTGCTTCAGGACCATTCACAGAAGTAATGCATTCAAGGTTCGGTTCGAGACTAGGAACCCGTTTCAAGGCCTAGTCTTCGTACAAGATCGTCTGGAAGATCCTCGCTGTCGTAGCCCGCCAGTAATTCCTGGGGCACGACACAATGCCAGCCTCAGACTTTCATTTAAAGACTGTGGAGTGGAAAGGCGGATTTCGGTAAGCATTTCCATTGAAAATTTGCTATTTTTTAGTTGTTCGCAAACTCCATGGTTTCAAATCATTATTTATTAATTTATCCATTCTTAGATTCTCAATATTTACAGACAAATTGCACATTATTGATTGTTTTATGGGAATCCGTTCATTCCACCCATATAAGGCTGTCCGCCGTAGTTGCCTCCACCGAATTGATCAGGTTGTCCTCCCATGCCTGTAATGGGAGCTGTTAGGCTGCGCTTACCCTCGAAACTGACGGACGCTGATGTCTGTGTCATGTGAGTCTCGATAAGTAGACTGGGAATGACCAGAATGTTCAGACGGAGCGGTCAAGAACTCTGGCTGACTAACCTTGGTTTCCACCGTAACCGCCATAACCATTGCCCATTCCTCCCATGCCACCCATTCCTCCATAGCCTCCACCAAATCCTCCCATACCGCCGTCGCCACCAAAGCCGCCTCCATCTCCTGAAACTTGTATGATAAAAGAGCATTGAAGCGATTAGCAAGTTGG